GTTCATATTTGGTTTGCGTAAATATGATCATGTATCCGAATATCGTTTACAGCTCAAGTGGTTACCCATTCGCTTTCGCCGGAATCTGCAAACTGTATCTCTTTTGTACTGTGTGTTGTTCAATCCTTTGACTCCAAGCTACTTGAAGGAAAACTTTAAGTTTCTTGGTCATGATCGACCTGAGAGAGTTCTTCGGTCAGCCGGCGAACTAATTCTAGAACCATGTTCATTTCGAACAAAATTTATGAAATATTCTTTTACGAGCCAAGCCATAAGGTTATGGAATGAACTTCCACTCCAAATTCAACGTGCTCAAACTTTGAAAAGATTCAAAAGTGACGTCAAGAAGCATTACCTAACACTTTGTGGTTATTGATAACCAATTCTAGCAATATTTATTATCTTTGTATATATATGTATGAGTATATATTTATATATATATATATACCTATTTATTAATATGTATGTTTATTTTATTATTATTTTTTATGTATTATTGTGGTATTTTAACAAAATATAGTTTAGTTTATTTAGATATTAGTATGTAAGTGTAACATAAAGCGCACCACCTCCTACTGTTCTTAATTCCAGTTTCTCTTTAGCCCAAAGGTTGTCTGGAAGAGATCGCTCTTTAGCGATAAGACCGCCTTATTGTACATACGTATATATTAAGTTTTCTCTGTAATGTATTTATTCGTTGTATATGTGTGGTGTACAATAAAGTATATACTACTACTACTACCTTCGATTTGCCGACGATATAGTCCTTATGGCAGAATTGCTGGAGGACCTAAGCACTATGCTCAATGACCTCGATAGTGTTTCCCAACGGATAGGTCTTAAGACGAACATGGACAAAACAAAGATCATGTTCAATGTCCATGTCACACCTATGCCGGTAGTTGTTGGGAGCACTAAGCTCGAAGTTGTTGACGAGTATGTTTACCTGGGACAAATAGTCCGACTAGGTAAGTCCAACTTCGACCGAGAGGTCAATCGACGGATTCAACTCGGCTGGGCAGCGTTCGGGAAGCTACGACACATCTTCTCGTCAGACATACCTCAAAACCTGAAAACGAAATTGTACAACCAGTGCGTGTTGCCAGTGATGACTTATGGAACTGAGACGTGGTCCTTCACTGCTGGCCGTATGAGGAAGCTCAAGGTCGCTCAGCGAGCTATGGAGAGGGCTATGCTCGGAGTTTCGCTGCGTGATAAACTTAGGAATGAGGATATCCGCAGTAGAACCAGAGTATCCGACATAGCCCAACGGATTAGTAAGCTGAAGTGGCAGTGGGCCGGCGATATAGCTCGAAGAACCGACAACCGATGGGGAAGAAAGGTTCTCGAGTGGCAGCCTCGTACCGGTAGGCGAAGTGTAGGGCGTCCCCCCACGAGATGGAGTGGCGACCTGGTAAGACATACAGGAAGTCGATGGATGCAGGTGGCTCAGGACCGTGCTTTGTGGCATTCTTTGGGGGAGGCCTATGTTCAACAGTGGACTTGTGAAGGGCTGTAATGAATGATGATGAATGAATGATAAAGTGGTTTGGGCCTAATGTACTTTTCTACTACTAAATCCACAAGTTGAAGCCGTCACTCAAGTCTTTATTTACTCTTGCGTACTGCTGTCTACCCGCCTTCGTAGTAATAACTTCGGAACCATTGGTACCATGCGTATAGCATGAGAAGCTGCCGCCCGGGCCTAGAGTAAAAAATGGTGGTGTTATCTTAAAAATGTCTTGGACAGTTTGCATATTATATTAAAATAAATATTTCATCATTATTCATCATCATCATCATCATTACAGCCCTTCACAACTCCACTTCTGAACATAGGCCTACCCCAAAGAATGCCACAAAGCAGACCTGAGCCACGTGCATCCATCGACTTCCTGCATGTCTTATCAGCTCCATCTAGTGAAAGATTGCCCTACACTTCGTCTACTGGTACGAGGCTGCCACTCGAAAATCTTTTTTCCCCAAAGGTTGTCGGTTCTTCGAGCTATATGGCTGGCCCATTGTCACTTCAGCTTACTAATCCGTTGGGCTATGTCGGTTACTCTGGTTATTTTATGGATATCCTCATTTCTAAGTTTATCACGCGGAGAAACCCCGAGCATAGCCCTCTCCCCATAGCTCGCTGAGCGATCTTGAGCTTCCTCATACGGCCAGCAATGAAGGACCACGTCTCAGATTCATCACTAGCAACACGCACTAGCTGTGGGTACAATTAAAATAAATAAAACAATATAATACTTTATTCCTATCGCTACCAGATATCACTCCCCGTGGTAAATTCGAAAGAAAATGCAAAGGGATGCAACATCTCTTCGCAGTGCCAATGAATCTAGCCGATCGGAAAGGACTCGGTCGTCGACGATTAGAGCCGCTCTGCGCTGGATGCGGTCAAGTGGAAGGAGCTGGCACTGGGGAGCCCCTGCCCAGAGATGGGAACAGTATTCCATGTGAGGCCGAACCTGCGCCTTGTAAAGTTGCAGGTGGTGTGCCGGCATGAAATACTGTCCCGCTCTGCTGAGCATGCCAAACTTTTTAGAGGCCAATTTAATTTGGCCTTCTCTTCCAAGTGACCATGAAATTGTTGACCAAGTGGACGCCGAGGATTCCGATACTGGCTGAGGAAACATGTGGAGGAGTGCCCTGAAATTGAGGAGACACGACAAAGGGGTTCTTTTTAGCGGTAAACGCTTAAACTTGTGACTCCATCGCCTACACCCATCTGTGTATTAGGTAAACAAGAAGTTCACCAGCTGAACGACCCCGATGGTAACCGTACTAACGGTTACTAATCAGCTGGTGGTCCTCAAGGTACCGCATGAGCTGGCGGTTCGTAATAGATTCCATTATTTTCGAGAACAAGAAGGTGATGGCGATAGGCCTGTAGTAAGACGGATCAGAGCGGTTACCTTTTTAGAGATCGGGTGCACGAAAGCTGTCGTCCATGAATTCGGGACAACGCCTAGGGAGTAGAAGTACCGAAAAAGACGCGTTAGAACCGGTGCCAACTCTGGAGCATACGTCCTCATCACAATTGGCAGGATTCCGTCAGGCCCACTCGACTTGTGGATGTCCAGGGAGAGGAGTGCTTTGCGTACTGAGCACTGTGTGAATCGCATATTAGGCATAGAGCACTCACACTGCGGAATGGTGGGCGGTGTGTTCCCCCCGTAATCAAGAGTAGAGTTGGGCGCAAAAAGGGAGCATAAACGGTCGGCTTACTCTTTTGCGGCGTGGGCCAGTGAGTCATTCTCCCTGTGCAGAGATGGTAGTGATGGCTTACAGAAATTCCCTTGGACAGCCTTGGCGAGAGACCAGAATGCACGGGTTCCCGAAGGAAGGCGAACTAGTTTCTCGCCAATTCTGCCTATGTGCTCTGACTTTGCCTTGGCTATAACTGTTTTGAAGGACCTGGAGGCGAAGTTATACTTATTTTGATGCATGCTGATGTTTACCTCCCGAACCGCTGAAGCGTCGTAATATATATATATATATATATATATATACGAGTATACATACACATAATCATAATCATTTATTAACATTGCGTAGGTACTTATTATAAAGGATAAAACATTTATTGAGCCAGAACAATTTTCATTACTACAATAAAAATACATTCACAGGTGTTGCACTGCCAAATATTTTCGTAGCACTTTATATTTAGTTTTCAATTGTTACATTTGATTATATTATAATGTAGGTACTTACTCGCATACGGATGATGAATTTTATCAAAAATAAATGAGGGAAACAACAACAACATGGCCTGGATTTGAACTCATCATCATCATTACAGCCCTTCACAAGTCCACTGAACATAGGCCTGCATCTATTGACTTACTGCATGTCTTACCAGGTCGTCACTACATCTAGTGGGGGACGCCCTAAACTTCGTCCGCCGGTATGAGGCCGCCACTCAAGAACCTTTTCTTCATCGGTTGTCGGTTCTTCGAGCTATATGGCCGGCCCATTACCACTTCAGCTTACTAATCCGTTGGGCTATCTCGGTCACTAATTCTACGGCGGAGATCCTCATTTCTAAGTTTATCACGCAGAGAAACCCCGAGCATAACCCTCTCCATAGCTCGCTGAGCGACTTTGAGCTTCCTCATACGGCCAGCAGTGAAGGACCACTTCTTAGTTCCATAGGTCATGGTGACACGCACTGGTTGTACAAAGGTTTTTAAGTTTTAAGGTATACCTGACGGGAATATGTGCCGTAATTTCCCGAACGCTGCCCAGCCGAGTTGAATCCGTTGATTGACCTCTCGGTCAAAGTTGAACTTACCTAGTCGGACTATTTCTCCCGGGTAAACATACTCGTCAACAACTCGAGCTTAGTGCTCCTCGGCATAGGTGTGACATGGATGTTATACATGATCTTCGATTTGAACTCAACTTTATTTATTAAAGGTATGTGAAATGTTGTTTCCAACAAACGAACGGAAATTTTGCTTAAAAGTAGCTCACTACAATATTCAACGAAATAAGCCGGAGGTACTTGTAGACCACCAAATGAATCACGTAAGGTATTGTATGTATGTATTGTTCACGTAAATAAAAATTAACTATTGTTGGCTCGTTGGCATAACCTGATGCGTATTTAATTATTGATAAGCATTTTACTTTATCTACGTGTTTTAAAGATGCCCCTTACAAAATCGTGAACTATGCGCAACCTCAGGAGGACTAAGAGGGAATACCTCTTTTCCAGTAAAAAGGGTCTCCGGTTCTTTACACTCACCATACGAAACAGCAGCATTTAGCTGCTATTTTACGCTTTGAGTATTCTGTGAGAGCATACTCAGTCGCTGACTTACGTACATATACAATTATTGTAATTATACGATTGTAATATTTTTCTTTAAATTTTTTTTCGGGTCCTCCGGCGACGACGTCCATAATTTACGCAACGCCGCAATAAATAACCACATACGTACAGAAAACTATTTTGCTCAGGAATATCGAAATTTGTTAAATTATTTTGTGTGGGCGTGGACCACACTGCTGGCTCTAAACAGAGATTTATTGTGAATAAAATCAACATATTGTGATATGATGTTATCAAAATCATCAACACAATTTAAATCATTATATAATTTGAAAAGTTGATACAGAAAAGATTTTCTGAATGCTCGCTCGAACTGAACACAGGTCGGTTCCCAGCAATTCCCACTAGCTTGACGTATTACAGAAAAAAAATATTCTAGGTCATCATTATTTAGTCTACGCGTCAGCAAGTAAAAGTCATTGATGCCCGACTCAGTCTTTAAATCGTCATACAACTGCATAATAGAATTTATTGTAATAGAAAATGCGTTGATAAACTTTATGGAAGTCGTAACATCTTTTCCAGTATATTTGTGTCTCACGATGAGACTAGCTAGCAAATTTTGAGCTTTAAGCAACAAATTTCGCTGTAATTCGTTCGCCCGGTAAGGATTGTTATAAGGCTTAGTGGAATAGAGGTTGTTAGAATTTAACACATCAAAAAGTTTATCCATAGTATCGATGAATTCAACGGTACCATTACATGGATTCAAATCACCTGTTTTGGCATACGTTACCACTGCTGTCTTAACAGAATCACTAAGCACTTGTGTTGCTAGGCGCAGTTTTCGTTTTTGAAAATTGTTTGGTGATATATGGGATTCCGTTAATTTGGGAGCACGCCGAAAATCTTTTTGTTTATCCAACTCATAACATTTATAGATATCGTCCCAACTAGCGATTTTACCATTAAACTCGTAGTCGTAGTTCATCAAATTATTTCGAACGCATTTTATGAGATGAGGCACGTCAAATATGTAGTAAATTTTTCTCCCGTCTATTTCAAAATAAGTGTGTTCTTTTGAGATTCCCATTGATTTAGAAAACTTTAGAAAGTCGAATCCCTGGTTTGAAACAATGGCTCTTATTTTGAAACCCAATTCAAACAATTGTTTGACGGTATTAATTATAAACTCCTCTAATGCTTTGTCGATTTTACTACTTGCAAGAAGTGCATAGCCGATTACTTGTTTCCAATCGCCTAATATCCCTTTAAGCATAATTGTATAAGCATACCCAGCTGCATATGAGCATTGAATGTCGTCAATTTCGTGTAAACCTATCACTTTATCCCTGTGTATGTCATAAAAAAGGGAATATTTTAAGCTCATTTCGTCCATACACAATGTACATTCCCTTTCGAAAGGCGCCAAGTGTTTTATCGCCTGCGATAAAACTTTCCATACATAGTCACTAATTTTGGTACTCACTGGTATGGCCACAGTAGCCAGACTACGTTTAGATGGCAAACACAAGGTTTTTGATAAAAACTTATACGCATGTGGACTTGAGTAATAAATATTTAGACAAAATAACTTAAATTCTTTAGAATATCTGTTATTTTTACAATGAGGTTTTAAAATGGCCTGTGCTTTGACAATTTTACTTAGATTCGGTGATAAAAACTTGTCACATCCTCGTAAAAACTTCTGACGGCTGATGTCCGTTGATTTATTATGTTCTATAAACTTCATCTTTTTCACACAGCTTACAATTTGTTTTCGAAGTTTTCTCTTTCTAGGGATATGGTCTGTCATTGTTTTTGGGGTCTGTGATGTTTCATCACTATTGGATGTCACCACAGATTTGTCTATTCTATTAGTGTCGATCTGTTCTTGAACACCTCTGCTAAGCAGATATTTTAAAATTTCTGCTTTTGGAGGTTCAATTTGTGTGTTAACAGAGTGCATAGGAACAGATGGTAAGTTTGATATGGGAACAGCAGCGCTGTGTAATTGCTGCTTCTTATACATCCAATCTTCAAAGTGTAAACTACATACGTACATGTTATGTATTTGTTCTATGTTTTTCTCTCTCAAGTCGGGTCTTTGACATGCGTTTATCCAAAATTGGCACCTATAAATAAAAATATCCAATAAATAAATATACTTAAAATGTTTGTTCATGCAATTTTCGGCACAGGAGTCTTCTTAGGGGCAGAATGTATAATGATTGGAGTGTAAACTTAAGGCTACTAACATTTTTCGAGTTAAAAATGAAGAAAAAATTGAATTTTAAGCGTCAGTAGCCTAATGGCAGATCACGGACCGCGAACTCGAAAGGTCGTGGATTCGAATCCGCCATTCGACTACTGTCGTGAACCACTTCTAACACAAGCATTTTAAGCTTACCAGAAGTGTTTAAAGGGAATATTAGTAACGTTTAATAGCATTACTAGTATTTATTAAAAAAAATATTACATTGATGAAATGTGCAGTGACAAGCTCTAATGACGATTCACGGAAGCAAATTTAGAATAATAACGATATTTCTATTCAGCGGTAAGTAAAATTTTAATAAGAAAACATTGATTTTAACAAAATTAATCAGGGGTTCAAAGGGTTGCACAACACGCGCTCCCGCACCTCCCGCTTCATGCTTTCTTTGAATTGGAGCTAGTGCTTAAATTAAATTGTCTGATAAAGAGTACACACACACACACGCGCACGCATGCACGCACGCACGCACGCACGTACACGCACACGCACACACACGCACACACACACACACACGCACACGGGTGCGCGCGATTGCTTAACCTACTAAATAAAAGTTATAAGTTTATAATAAAATAAGGCTATGGTAGAGTGTGGCCTTCTGGCACATGTACTTATTTTAAATACATAACTAAAATACTGTACCAATTTAGAAAATCCTTGCTACCGGATAAAAAAAATATATGTAATTTATTTTTATGCTTAATGTTAGATACAATATACAATACATAATATATACAAGATACAATACCAGACCTGAAATTTTGAAGTAAGATTACACTTATTTTAAAGTGATTAAAAAAGTAAATATTCGTACCTAACGTAATTATTAATATTGTTATCTACTTAATTACATGTGTACCTACGTTCGCGATTTTTTCAAAATTAATGGATGTCCTTGAAAAATATATTGACATTAAAATGAAATGATCGATACGCTATTGCTTGCTTATGCATACTGTAAAGAACAAAGTATAACTACGTTATTTTTCTTAACTTCATTATGTTTTTATTCTCATCACAATAAATACCAACTAAGATAACTTGCAGATAAGTAGCTAGTACGAATTATAAAAAATTGGAAACTTACCTCGCATCACGGGGAAATCTATGAAATTTTAGATCCTTGTTCTTTTTAGTTGTCGAATAACATCCATAGACAGAACAGTATTGCACCATTATAATAGTTGTGAAACGAATGTACGAATATAATTTAAAATAACAAAATCACTTTAATAAATATAAAAAAATACGCTCGGAGTGTACAACTCCCTTGTATTGTTATAGCAGATTTAGTGAAGTGCGCTAGTACAAGGTCGGCCCACCCGCCCCTTGCCCCGCAACCGTTACCCGCCACCGTCGCGTCAGTATGCACAAGAATGCTGTCTATAAAGTTTGTGGGCACTACGGTACATTGCGCACTAAGTTGCGGTCAATTCTCCGTAACTTCTTTAGTCAACTGCGTAGTTATTTGTTTTGTAACCGCGAACGTTGTTGACAATCTAACATTGATTTTGTTTAAAAAAACGCTGTCATTATGTATCTACGCACTTTATCCACAGAGTAAAGAGTAAGGACTTTATCAACTTGATTTGAAGTTTATTTCAGATAAGTATGTAACTCTAATATTATTTCAGCACAGGAGCCGTCTTAGGCCGGCCATATCATACGGAATTCCGTTTCGAGATTCCGTTTCGGAATCCCGATTCGGGATTCCGTGAATACATCACACACACACGTTTTTTTTTCCGTTCGGAATAACAAGGGTCAGTTGAGAGAAGTTAGCCATTGAGTCTAGACATTCTGCCAGCGAATAATGACGACGATTTTCTAATTGCAAATTCCATTGTTGCTGTATCATTCTTACTAGGTGCATCCCCTTATCACCCTAAGCTTGCAATATAGTCAATACTATGTAAAAAGATCTATCTATCCAGAGATATTTTTTAAATATTTATGTATGTAAATTCTATCGACGAATTATTAAATAAAATAAGATGAAAGGTTGCGAAAAGCTATACACCTACAAGATTAAATTTAAAAACATACATAAATACACCTACTCGCTTCGGTCGTGCGACGAACACTGAGCGCATTCCGTACGGAATTTACGTATGTGTGTTGCGACTCGTACAAAATCTATGGAAGACGTGCGTTCGGAGCGGCTTTTTTCCGTTCGGGATCCCGAACGCACAGACGATCATACGGAATCTCGAATCGGAGAAATTCCGTACGGAAAAATAACGTACGTGTGTGGCGGGTCATAGATTTTATATGGACTTGCTGCGTTCGGAATTCCGAATCGGAATATCGATACGGAATCTCGAAACGGAATTCCGTATGTATGTGGCCGGCCTTAGGCCTGCCACATACGTCCGGGTCGACAACACACATACGGAATCCTGGTTTGGCCGCAAAATTTCGAACGGAAAACTGCCGTACGTGTGTGACGGGTCATAGGTTTTATATGGACTTGTTGCGTTCGGAATTCCGAATCGAAATATCGAAACTTAGGCCGGCCATATACATACGGAATTCCGTTTCGTGATTCCGTTTCGGAATCCCGAATCGGAATTCCGTGAATACATCACACACACACGTTTTTTTCCGTTCGGAATAACAAGGGTCAGTTGAGAGACGTTAGCCATTGAGTCTAGACATTCTGCCAGCGAATAATGACGACGATTTTCTAATTGTAAATTACATTGTTGCTGTATCATTCTTACTAGGTGCATCCCCTTATCACCCTAAGCTTGCAATATAGTCAATACTATGTAAAAAGATCTATCTATCCAGAGATATTTTTTAAATATTTATGTATGTAAATTCTATCGAGGATTTATTAAATAAAATAAGATGAAAGGTTACGAAAAGCTATACACCTACAAGATTAAATGTAAAAACATACGTAAATACACCTACTCGCTTCGGTCGTGCGACGAACACTGAGCGCATTCCGTACGGAATTTACGTATGTGTGTTGCGACTCGTACAAAATCTATGGAAGACGTGCGTTCGGAGCGGCTTTTTTCCGTTCGGGATTCCGAACGCATAGGCGGTCATACGGAATCTCGAATCGGAGAAATTCCGTACGGAAAAATAACGTACGTGTGTGGCGGGTCATAGATTTTAAATGGACTTGCTGCGTTCGGAATCCCGAATCGGAATATCGAAACGGAATCTCGAAACGGAATTCCGTATGTATGTGGCCGGCCTAAATCCAGAAACGGAATTCCGTATGTATGTGACGGGCCTAAAGGCAGTGTAGAAATTGGAGTATACGCTTAGGGGTACTATGAGCAGCAAAGAATTAAATTGTATGATGAAGAGCACACACACACACACACACACACACACACACACACACACACACACACACACACACACACAAAAGCACGCGCGCGCTCAAACACACGCACACACACACACACACGCACGCATGCACGCACGCACGCACGCTCGCACGCACTCACGCACGTACGCACGCACACACACACACACACACACACACACACACACACACACACACACACACACTCGAGTGCTTATCCTACTAAACTTAAAAAACTATGATAAAATTGTATTGAAGAATAAATTGGTAATAAATTTATAATAGACTGCAAAAAACTGCGTTTTTCGTATGTTCTATAACTTCAGTCCAACTTGTCATTGCAATTCGCTGATAACAAAAAATAATTTAGTTAGGTTTTGCTAATTTGTAAGCTACGACGCGTGCGTGCGTGCGTGCGTGCGTTCGTGCATGCGTGCGTGCGTGCGTGCGTGCGTGCGTGCGGGCGTGCGTGCGTGCGTGCGAGCGTGCGTGCGTGAGTGCGTGCGTGCGTGCGTGCGTGCGTACGTGCGTGCGTGCGTGCGTGCGTGCGTGCGTGCGTGCGTGCGTGCGTGCGTGCTTGCGTGCGTGCGTGCTTGCGTGCGTGCGTGCGTGCGTGCGTGCGTGCGTGCGTGCGCGCGTGAGTGTGCGCGTGCGCGTGCGCGTGCGTGTGTGTGTGTGTGAGTGTGTGGGTGTGTGGGTGTGTGGGTGTGTGAGTGTGTGAGTATGTGAGTGCGCGTGCGAGCGTGAGTGCGTGCGTGCGTGCGCGCGTGCGCGTGCGCGTACGCGTGCGTGTGTGTGAGTGTGTGGGTGTGTGGGTGTGTGGGTGTGTGGGTGTGTGGGTGTGTGAGTGTGTGAGTGTGTGAGTGTGTGAGTGTGTGAGTGAGTGTGTGCGTGTGTGAGTGTGTGAGTGTGTGTGTGTGAGTGTGTGAGTGTGTGTGTGAGTGAGAGAGTGTGTGTGTGTGTGTGTGTGTGTGTGTGTGTGGGTGTGTGTGTGTGTGTGGGTGTGTGTGTCTATGCTTGCGTGAGTTAAAAAGAGCATGTGTGATTACAGTGTCTGAATCTGAACAAATCATGCTACACAATCCAGTAGCTTCTCAATTTGCATGATGAATCCATTCTAACAAAAGTTTTTTACAGTTGTGATATGTTTTGTCGTATATATAAATATCTTTGTTTATTTTATTATAAAGAAAGGCAGAACGTGATATAAATTGTCTGCTTGCAAATGTGGTTTTAGTTCTGTATGTCTGGGCAACCATGTTTCTACGTCGTTTATTTAAATGGCATGGATCATAAGACAATGATTTGTGAGTTTTGAGGGTTGTCCAGAATATATACAACTTCCTGATAGAGAGTAAACCGCTGATACGAAATAGAAGATCGGTAGAAAAGCGTCTCTTCTTAAAGTACATAACTTTAATAAGAGAACGCTGCGCCCTCTCTAACTCCAGAAATCGAGTTTTTGCTGCACCACCCCAGACAGGAATACAGTAGGCCAAGACGGATTGAGCAAGAGCAATGTAGATTTGATTGAGGAGATAATTTGGTGAGTCCTCATCCGATTTGCCCAGCATTACATGTCTGAGGGTTTTGAAGATCCAAGTTAGTTTCTTCATTCTATCAAGGTGTGGGTACCATGATAGTCTTTGGTCTACAATTACTCCCAGATATTTTGTCTGAACTATCTAATCGATCCTAGGGCAGTTACAGGTGTTTTTATTAGTATCCGTTGTACATTCATGAATTTTTAAACTGAAGTCGGCCTGAGGTTGCGAGTTGTTGTTAGTACTAAAACATATATATAGTTGGTTTTAAAAGTATTTAGGGTCAGGAGGTTGTGTTTCAGCCACTGAGCGAAGTGCGCTGGCAGCTGGCACAAGTGGCACAAGGTCGTGCCGCCCGCTGCCCCGCAAGGCCCCCGCCGTTGCTCTAGACAAATACATTCGTTTCCCAACTGTTACGGCACGTTTAGGTTATCGAACGAACAAGAACAACTCACCGAATGTAAACGTGTCGTATTAATATTTTTACTATTATATTAATAAATAACTTATCGGGCAGAGTAATAAAAAGACGGAAGATAATCACAGCTCAGAATGGACAGGGGCTCATCTTCCTCGGACTCTAATAATATTTTCACAAACGCTTCAAAGCCCGCCACTCCTAGGCATATCAGAATTTACAGTTACAGTACTAGACGTAATTGCTACCCTTGTCTGAAATAGTTTCTTCTACATTAAGATCAAGTAACTGAACAAGATGCTTTTTTGTCATAATAATAATAGACTGTGTTTGAAATATTCGTGCTTTGTAACGAGGATTAAGCATTGTGGCTAAACAAGACAGAGACACTGACACTGAATAAAGCGCAGTTTCCCCGAGCATAGTTCGTGCCTCGTTTGCAACTAAATATACGAGACAACACGCGCGTGTACATTACATTTTTAACGCACGTTTGAAAAGTATCGTTGATTCGGCTAAAAATATATCGCCGATTCCGATATATCGGTAAACTTCAGTTGTGTATCGCCAGCAACGCAAAGTCGGGAATTTGCATTTGGAAAAATCCAAAATTAGGGGCTTTTTAGGTGCTAATTAGGTGCCAAGTTTAAAAATTATGTGCTCTGAAATTTTCACCGCAACGAACTATTGAAATTTGCGTTGCTAGCAAAACGTCTCGTTAGCAACGCAATTAAGTTATTAGATATACGATAAATATTAATAGCAAGGAATTTAGTGCTAATTAGGTGCTGCAAGTATACGCAATACCTAACAAGGCGCCCCTAATAAAAATAAAGTCGTTAATCAGAACATAACAGACGCAAAATTCAGATTTCCTGAAAATAAA